AAGCAAACCTATACTGGGAGCAGCGTTTTCTATACTGGGAGCTTCCTTGCAGCTCCCAGTATAGAAAACGCTCCTCCCAGTATAGGTTGGCTTGTGTAGGATTGGCTTGGTAGAGCATTTTCACGATCTCTAGCTCCTATACTGGGAGGAGCGCTTTCTGTACTAGTGATAGGTGTTTTTGAATGAAACAGTATTGAACCTATAGTGTCTCCGCCAAAACACATGCCAGTATAGAAAACGGCTCTCCCAGTATAGAATCTGTTAGGTATTGAGATCTTCTATCAAGCCAATCACGCACAAGCAAACCTATACTGGGGGGAGCGTTTTCTATACTGGGAGCTGACTTGCAGCTCCCAGTATAGAAAACGCTCCTCCCAGTATAGGTTCGCTTGTGCGTGGTTGAGCCTGGCACCTAACTAGGTCCTATACTAGGATCAGTTTTTTCTTTCTTGGTGATGGGTGGGTTGGCGATTGCTCCAATACGAATAACATACTTACCGTCTGCAGTGGCTCCGCCGAATCACATACCAGTATAGACAACGCTCTTCCCAGTATTTGTAATACCAGTATATGATCCAGTGATATCCAGTGGGTGAGAAGAGGGTCAAATGAGTCTGTATATTATGCTCTGCCATCCAAATCTACGCATGAGCAAACCCATATTGGGAGGAGTGCTTTGAACAAGCTGCAAAGAAGAATATAGCTCCCAGTATAGAAAACCCTTCTCCCAGCATAGGCTTACTTGTGCTATGTCATGCTGAAGCACGTAATAAGCTTCTTTATTGGGAGGCTCATTTTTGCTAAGTTCGGTTTGAGTGTTCGGTAGCCAGGAGCGTGCTTGTGTCGTTGAGAAACCCACGATGAGTAGTATGAAGAAGCATATGTTGCAGAGGGCATGGTGGCACGTCCTGGGCAATGCATCAGTCACTGGTCGAGAGTTTGGAGAGAGCAACCGTAAATCGACACAATACCTGAAGGTCAATAGGAACACAGGTTCGTCATGAGAATAATGCTGAACTGCTGCAAGAGCTGTGCGTTCACCCAGGGGCTTGTAGGTCAGTTCAGAAACTAATGCATGTGAGGGGGTTTTTGAGCTTGAGGCTCTGTGTCTTTTCTGTGACTGTGGCGGTTTCAGATTCATGAAGAGTGTTTCAGGGTGTTTAGGTTTGGGGCTTGGCCTCGGAAATGTAAGCGCGATCAATCCGCTACAGATTCAAATCTCTGGTGGGTCCTAAGTAGAATCACAACATATCAGATCAAGATAGTTAGCAGATAGCAAACTGAACCCTGAATCCTGAGGAATTTAACTTCGGACAGCAGCCAGCAATATCCATGCAAGAAAACAGACTCTCTCACACATGAACTACATTTGATGGTAATTGCGTTGCTTATACGTAAATTCCGACCGTTAAAAACGGCCTCTGAGCATCATCTTTTTGACATTGAGCTGATCAGTGCTTAATGCAAGGTCGCTGCTGCTGGCGTCTGGAGCTTCGCAGCTGGGCAGCGGCAGTGGTGCCGTCCTCACACAGACATGCGTTCGCGTGAGCCGGGCAGGTTGACAATTGTTGAGGGATTCTGGCTGAGGGGGCATTGCCATCAGTCATTGACTCATGTCTGAAGGGTAGCTTGCTGGCTTTTCAGTAGTGTCTTCTCGGCATGGCTGATTCACACACCAGATTTGCCACGGCTATTTACACTCAAGGGGGGAGGGCAGGGGCGGCTGGAGTTTCATGATATTAAGTATATTCTTATTGGTTTCCAATTCCCAAGTGTTGTGAGGCAACTGATTCTAACACCAGGACCACAGGCTGCTCATTCCAAGTTGTACTTTGGACCAGCTGGGATTGCTTCATTTCTAAGGTACTCATCACATTTCAAATTATCTCCGACTGTGCCCCCCTCTAGTCCCAATCCCCCAACCGACGTGGGATTCGCAACAAAATTCGTTTGGTATTCTCAAGTTTCGCCATCCGTTAAATCCGATTTAGCTTAGGGCCCAGCGAGGGTCTTATATTTTGAGCAAACTAGGTTTCAGGGCTTGAGGGCCTTGGGTCCAGCTAGGGCTTGAGGGCTTTGGGGCCTAGGATCCAGCTCGGGTTCCCCGGTTCGCCTGGGGTTATTACCGGCCCTCAACTAATCAGCTAGACGGGCTCTCAGATGCATATAATATAATATATATATATATATATATATGTATACATACATACATACATACTACTTACATATTGTAAGTCCCGACCCCGCGTGTGCTGCCATGGCGGGTTCGCCGACGTCTCCTGCAGAGAGCCCGACGGAGGTGTTCAGCGGCAGCGGCGACGATTCGGCGACGGAGCCGCCATCAGAGGCGGAGGCGGAGGCGGCGGTGGGGGCGGCGGTGGGGGCGGCGGCGGCTGGGGCGGCAGCGGCTGGCGCTGGGGCGGCCACTGCTGCTGATGAGCCAGTGGCTGAGCTGCCACAGGTGCCGGGCGGCCAAATTTTAAAAAGGGTTTTAATTTAGAGAGGTTGCGGTTTTCTGCTACAAAGTACGTGGCCCATGCGAGGCAGAGTCGGATCTGCCAGAGCCTCTGCCGGAGCCTCTGTCAGATGACGATGAGGAGCTCCGGCAGGCTCTGAGGGCATCGCTCTATGCTGCTTGGCTTCTTTAGTACTTCCTTGGACTTACTTGGTTGGTGTCGTAGGCTCTTTCGCTTTCCAGGCACGGGTCTCTAAGATTGGACGCTTCCGAAACTTGTGAGGAGTACCACGATGACAGCGAGGCGATGCCATCTGGGAGCGAGCCTGCCTCTTCTTCTGCTGCTGCTGGCTCTGGAGTGCAGACTTCCGCTGAGGAGCGGGGGTTTCCATAGCAGTGTACGTGTTTTTTTTACTTTCGCGAGCTTGGATAATTATTGGTTTCTCCAACCCTTCTGGGAAACCTTTTGCTGTATGCGGCAGGCTCCGAAGAAGAAAAAGAAGAAGAACAAGCCGAATCCGACTGAGAGGGCTCGGCTCAAGCGGAAGGCCGAGGTGCGGGAGATGCAGGGGGCGCTGGCAGAGGAGTACGACCGCTCGCATTCCCACAATCGAATGATGAGGGACCTGCTCGCCGATGTCACTGTATCTTGGATCCAGCTTTCAGCAGCTTTTGTAAAACAAGGTTGTGACAACAATTGAAAGGAAGCACTGCAAATTGAAATCCTGATCCAAGGCCATGCAACAGCTTCTCTTGCAGTATCGCCAGATCCATCAATGGTATTTCAACAATGCGCCGCCGTGGCTCCGGCGAGAGATGCCCTTTGAGTTCCCGACTGGGAAAACGCTGCCGCAGGACTTCTTTCAGAAGAAGCCGAAGATGCTGCATCAGTCCATGATGGCGGACCTGCATGCCCCATATCTGAAAGAATCTCTTTCAATTTCGGTGCTTAGGCTTCCTGCGTCTTATTCTTATTATGCCTTTGTGCCGCCTTGCAACAATCAAGGAGTGGTGTGGGCTCTGCATGCGTGGCTATGAGCTGATCTTGTGGTGGCAGCGGCAGTACATGGATCATCACAGGGATGGCGATCAGAATCCTCATGCCTGGATGCTCCGACCGCCGCCTCAGCGTCCTGGTTTTGCTGCTGGACCTGGGGCTTCTTCTGGCAGTGCTGCTTCTGGAGCGGCGGCGCCGCCGCCCCCACCGCCGCCGCCGCCGAGTGGCGGGACCCCGCCAAAGAGCGGTGGGTCCGGTAGGTAAGGGGCCGAGCCTGCCGGAGATAATTAATTAAGTAGTAACATAGGGCATAGGCTCCATTAATAAAGTCCTTGAAGTGTCACGGTCCTGGTGATGGCTCGACAGGCTTCCTGCCCCTTTTAGCTTCGCCAGGCATGGTCATCGGCGCAAAACAATCAATATTATTGGAGGGTGTCGTGCAGGGATTGTCTTGGCACATAAAATGCAAACGCACCCCACCGCTCCTTCAGTGCCCATGATGTATGGAGAAGATCAAGTTAAGCCACTAATTATAGACTAAGCCGGATACTTGATAACTCAAGCCGCTATTGAACGCTTAAGGCAAAGCCGAATTTCTTCTGAAACATTGGCAGGGATGAGGTCGAAGACACCCATAGTCTAGTGCCAGGTTCTTTGTAGAACCCCTGTGTACTTAATATCAAACAAAGCTGATGGCTGGAAATCACATTATTATTCCTGAAGCCCTGTGCAACAACCATATGTTTCTGCAAGTAGGCAACCCCAAGCATCTAACGACATGCACAAAGACCACCCCGACCCGTGGTTATGGAACCCTATGTTTTAAGTCATAATGTTGCCTTGCGCGACTTGTTATCGGGATTGCAAATACCGTGTTCCAGGGGTACTTTGGCTCGGGGCTCCGGGTTCGTGGCACTCATCCCAATCCCCTGCCTGTGCCCTTTGTTTAACTCAACATCATTATATACATAATTTTCGCAACCTGGTAAGTCCTCACATGGTGCAATTTCAGTGCCGATGCCCAGGTGCCTTGTTGCCGGCAGCTGCAGCTGCAGTTTCCAGCCGCAGGCTTGCCCAGCTCGTTTGGTCCGTTGTGTGAGGCACGATCGAAGTGGCAGGCCTGATGCTGTGAGATTGCTGATTGAGTTGTCCGGCCCATACTGATGAACTTGCCCCACGTCAGCCTTGATTGTTGCTTCATCGCAAAGCTGGACCAATAGACTGGGGCTGTCTTTGCATGGTCAGGACATAAGCAGCACGTCTTTCAATTTCAACAGTTTTCAAGGTCCCACTAGTTTGTCTTAGTCCACTGTCACGGAGATAGAGGTGATAGAATTGAGCTTGATCTTCTCAGCATCGCATTGCAGTCTTGTGAAAGTAAGGATTTGATTTGACCAAACTTCATAGGGAAGCAGATGCTCCCGTACCCATAGAAACCGAGTCGGTGCATATCTTTCGATTATCGGTGCTAGTCGCCATTAGCCGTACCATGTGTTACACATAGTTAAAGTCTGGCCCTGGACGACGTTCGGCAGTCTTGGGGGTTCCATGGCTGCAGAAGCTGTGCCAGTGCCGCCGTGTGCTCCTGGTGCCAATGAGATCCGAGAGGCACCTCCGACTCCGGAGTTGCAGCGCTGCAGTGTCGATGAGCTCCGAATGCATTTGGAATCTTGTCCAGATGGCCACAAATCCTGCCGACAATGCATGTTTGCAGCAGGCCAGCTAAGTCGGCAACGGTGGTTTTCAACTTGGTGACTCGTTCAGGGGTTGAAACCATGCTTATTGTATTTGGGTTTGCAGCCTAGTTTCGCCATAAGTCTGAAAATTGCGCAGGTTACTTGGGGCGACTCCGCAAATCCTCAGTTCTACTGCACACAACGGATGAGACGCACTCATGGAAGCGGCAGTGTACTTTTCGTTTCCAGCAGCAAATTCATTCTTGGGTGATCTTCAGAGACAATCCTATCAAGGTGGGTTGTTTTCTGTGCTTCAGAGGCAAAGTGAACTCACCGTATGCTCGGGTTGAGGCACAGCCTCAGCAAGCCAGTGACCTGAGCAACCATTCCAAGAACTTGAAGCATATCAAGGCACTTGAGGCATTACAATCTGCGCAGCTGAGTTCGGACCGATCAGAGCAGGAGCCACAGGAGCCGGAACTGAAGCATGGCATTGTTTCGGGCCTGAGCTCGAAAGTGCCAAGAATGGACAGCTGGGTTGCAGCGCTGAGCAGCATTCTGACCCGTTCTTCCCTCCAATCGGTGCAGGACCAGTCTTCAACTGCAGCTGTGGCTTCAGGGCTCTTAGATCCTCAGGCAGATGCATCCGACACGGTGCTTCGAAAAATGCTGCAATGCCTGGTCGAACCACTCAACCAGGAAATCCTTTTTCACATGAGGCAAGCTGTTGCATCCTCTATCGCAATGGACCGTGGTCCAGATTCTTGCCTGGTCGTTTACGCAAGAATACTGACAAAGTCTGGTCAGATTTTTGATTGCCACTTGGGCATTCAGGGCGATTGTGTTGCAGATGCAGAGGAGCCTCAGGCTTCAAGAAAGCTGTCTGAAGCCTTCAAGAAGATTCTGCTACGTTCCTGTACGAAGAGGGGGGACGGAAGGAGATCCAATCTGTATCATGGAGAAGACGACACGATTGATACAGTCGCCTTCGATCGTTTCTGCGACAGTGTCAGGTCAATCGTTTGCGATGGGTGCGCTGTGGAGCAGCGTGCAGCATTCGAATCTAGCCCGCTGGTGGGACACCTGGTCGGGGCTGCTGAGCGACAGCCTCTCTTCCCCAATTGTGCTATGATCACGCGGGATCGTGCTCATAGGGTGCGATCGGTGCAAAAGCTGTTTTTCAAGAAGCTCCCGCCTATCTTCAGCCAGTTCATTGACAAGCTTCTGACTGGCAAACGCAGCATAGCCACTTTGCTTGAAACCTCAGATAAGTATTCCCACGCTTTCCTGAACAAGCAAAAGGCTGCCAGGGCTGGTGATGCCGACGGCGAGCTGGAAAGCGGTGCTGGGTTTAGCAAGCTCATAAAGTCCTTGAGCTTTGCGGACCATCGCTTCGATAGCCGGCTAAAGCCCCTGTTCCGGCTTTTCAAGCTGCTGATGATTGTGTTGGAAATGTTGCAAGACATTGCTTCCGGTCTTGGCCCCTGGGAAGCTGATGATCGAGAGAAGGCAAAGAGTGTGTTGTATGACTTCTCCGGCGACCTCGGATACATCACGGTGGTTTCAGCCGCCGTTACGGCTGACGCGATGTTGCTGGGCTCTCCATTCTTGCGAGTCTGTGACCAGGACAACGCAGACTATGCGCTGCAAGCGCCTGCTGCAGCGAAAGCTTTGCAAGATATGCGACATTTTCTATACGATGGAGCCATTTGGCTCCCGGATGCCCGCAACACGCTCACCCACACTGTCTTGAGAGCCATAAAAGACAGGCTGATGATTCTGCGCCACAATTCCAAAGACTGTGAAGCAGTGTCAATGAGGTGGCCTGCTCCACAGAGTGCTGAGAGAAACAAGCCCGTCGCCATTGCTCGCGAGTTTCTTGATTGAAGTCATCCGTTTCCTTTTCGATCTTGATTACCGACATAAACAATCAGATCTAGAAAGCAGGCAGTGCAAAGATTGCGAACCCTCAGGTTCTATGCCATCTTCGAGGCCTTCTTCAAGAGTCATTTCCCGTTCTATGAGGCCGAAAATCAGTAGTTCTGTGTGTTCCTGGCTCATTGATGGTGATACTTCTAGTTCTCTTCATGCTGGTGGATGTCCCAGTGCTCTTTCTGATGCTGTTCTTGATGTTGCTCCTAGTGTTGCTCAGCAGCGGGAGGAGGTGTTGTTGGTGGCGGCGGCTGTTGCTGCTGCTTTGGATGTTGCGAGTTCTGGGACCTACTCGGATTCTTCGGTATTGGCCCCTGCTGTTCTGTGTGTAATACCAGAATAAGTGGGAGCGCTGCTTGTGACGGACTTCTTCCGGCTGGTATCAACACTATGATATTGCCTCTCCTGCTGTTACTGTTGATGTTACTTCTCCTGCTTGAACTGTATTTTGTTGTGGCTGCCGAAGTGCTCTGATGTGGTTCAAGTTACGGCTGTGCTGCTGCTGTTTTTTTCGTGTCGGTGGTTGTCCTGATCTTTGCCGCACTCGTGTCATGGGTCTTAGGTCGTTGTGTGCTTTCTCACGTTTCTTTTCTTGCTGCTACTGCGTAGCAAATCCTGGGTTTGGTTGTTGCCTTCGTGCCCCAGCAGGAGGCAAACTGCATGGTGGCATTCAACCTCGACGTCGACATGACACTTTCCGATCGCCAGAAATTCTTGATGACGCTGGCGCAGAGATTGAATGTGGACGGCGGCAAGGCCTGGCGTTCTTTTGTCGGCAGTGGCCGTGGACACACAACTGGGCTATTGGCGCAGGCCCGTTACTGGGCCAGCAGTGCAGGTCTGGCAAATCGCCCAGAACAGTCGACTAGTCAAGTCAAGCACATCTGCCACAGCCCCGAAAGCCATCACCAGCAAGCATGGCTGCAAACATTTCGCGACCTTCGACAAAGCGACGGCCATGCGGAGGCAAAGCAGCTGCTGGCGTTTTATCTCTCGGCGCTGAGTGGTACGCAGACAGTCGAGCGCTTCATAGGTGCCATGGAGAGTCTCAAGAGGCAAAGACGCACCCTTCACGATCGGTCTCTCGAGGCCTCTATGAAACTTGTCTTGATGGACTTGGGCGGCCGTCGCCGACAGCGTCTGGACCCGTTGGCACTCCTATCCAAATCTGCGCCTGGAAGGACGTCTGGCCAGGCCACCGTCCTTCACCCTTCAACGCCATATCTCTTGCGAGCTCAGAAACTCTATGGCCAGTGGTTCGGTGAACGGGCATCTGCAGGACGTTCCCTTCAAGTTGCAAGTTTGTCTGAACTTGGCGTGGCCCAGGTGAAAGCCAAAAAACCTCGCCTAGGCGGGCCGCGGACTCTGCAGAACGATTCAGAGGCAGCCCAACTTGGGCAGCACAGACAATCTTGCATGGCAGCCATCAGTCAACTTCAGTCTGGTGCTGGCACGGAGACGATCCTGGGTGCGGAGCTTCCTCGACCAGAGCCACAGAAGCAAGTGCTGTCTCAGATGGCGGATGCCGCTTGGGAAATGTCGAAGCGGCGCAAGACAAAACAAGATCCCGAGCCTTTGCCTGTTATTGCTGACACCGTATCCACTCCGACTGCCATGGCCTCTTTGCTGGCTGGAAAGCCTTCTTCTGCCTCGTCATCGTCCACGTCAGTGCCAGTAGATGATGCAATTGATTGGACGCAAGCTGTCAGTGCCGTTCAGAAGCAAGCGCAGGTGGCCTTGCAGAGACAGCAAGCCCAGGTGCAGGGGAAACCTGGCCAGCCCACTGCATTCGTTGATTCGAAAGGAGGAGGGATGACTGTGATCCCAGACGGTCCTGTCTCAGAGCCGCAGCCTGGCAGGAAAGTCCCAACATTGCCATTGAAACCAATTTTGTTGCGTGGCCCTGGTGCGGAGAAATCATCTTTGAAGGGCTGCATTCCGGCAACATTTCCAGACAAGCCAGACATTGTGCTGGTGTCGTCTATAACGAGTCACTGGGAATCGCCGGAGGGCCTTCTTGCCCGCTTAGAAGGCGCTCGTTTTCGTGACCTCGAGACATCCCGTGAGGTGTTCTTCAGGGGAGCTACACAGTGTCAGCATTTCGTGCTCTACGTGTCCGACAGCTTTGCGAAGCAGCACCCCGTGCATTTGCAAGCCCTGGAAGCATGTGCTAGCCGCAGTCCCCTGATGTTTTCAAGCCGTGCCAAGGGAAAGGTCAAACGGCTGGAAGTGCATACTGGATACACGGCTCTTCCAGAAGAGCTTTTGTTTCCAGAATTCACCTATCTTCTCGTGGCAAAAGTCTCAGAGGGTGAAGAGGGTGCGAAGCACCAGCTGGATTTACGCATGCTGCTCAACCGCTGCAGCCGCTGCTATGCTAACTAGAAATCGAAGCGTTGTGTGCGACAGCCGATAAGACATGCTTCTTACTGTCTCTGCTGTCTGTGCAGGATCCGAGACTTTGAAATTTGTATGTCGACTGTGCTCCTCCTTGGTGAACCGACAATGTCCTCTGCCAGGTCCTGGCGGACAACGATTCATGCGAGACGCTAAGAAGGGAAAGGAACTTCCAGTGCTTTGCTCCCACACTGTTGGGCAAATTATCAGACGAGACCGGTCTGCTCAGTGAGTAAGGTTTTAATCATAAATCAAGTGCAAGCTGCAGCCTTCTGCCGTGGTTGTGTCGTCCACCAAATTGTACCAATCTGCAGTGTGACGTGTTCGGATTCGAAGGGATACGACTTTGAATTGTTATGTCAGGCGTCAGGAATCTCGCGAGTCAATCGGGCCAGGGGGATGATTGTTAGTTTTGAAGCATGATGTGCTCTGCCTGGCACTCCTGAGGCCCGGCGCCAAGGCATGTGCTTCCAGGCCGTCCCCGCCCTGTTTGCGTGCGTTAAGCCAAGCATGTAGCTCTGGGCTCTGGCTGCATTGTTCCACTTTGGAAACGAAATTTGTTGTGTGATAGGGCTTAGTGGGCTGAGATTCAACCTTACTAATTCATTATAGATAGCCATTGATATTCATCTACCATAAGCATGTGTCAACGTCCGGCAAGTGCTAAGCATTGGCTGGCAGTTGCCCGCTTGGCCCGTGGCGCCCCGGTTGATTTATTTGAGGCCTAAAGCTCTCTTGTTCAACTACCTCATATAGGGTTTTGGGATGGTTTATAAGTTCATGAGAAGGCTGTGCTCTGGCTAGATGAAGTTCCGTGCCCTCGTAGGTCATTTGCTTTAAGTTCCCCTTACTCTTAGTTGCTGGCAGTGACGTGCATCTTCGCAACACGTGGCTGGTACCGGCTTCAAACACAGGTCTTTGACTGTCTATGTCTGCTGTGTTGTGTGCAGGAGTCAAGGATCGCCGGCTGTTCAGTGCATGTGACTCAGATCTTGCGAGTACTGTCTTATGAGTGCTCTTCACAGGGTAGGCAGTTTCGGGAGATTCCACAATCAGATTTCCGGACATAGCCAGAACACGAATTCAAGAATTAGGTTGCAGTCTTCGTTCGTTGTGCTGGGGTTCTGCTGAATGACACAACAGTTTTCAGTTTTTTGAGGGGACTTGAAGTTGTTCTTTGCTACGGTTCTGGTCTTGCCACACAAGCCGGGGACGTGCCATGTTTTTTGGGGGGACAAGAGCACGTAGGACCTATCGATCGGTGGCAATCGTAGTCGCGGAGAGTGCTCAGAAGCTGGTGCGGTAACACGGTCGGCTAGCCGCGAGTAAAAATTAAATTTTTACTCAGAGCCCAAACTTAGCCCAGAGACGGCCCAGCTGACGCCAGAGTATTTGCGAAACAAAAGTTCGGTTCCAGCGTCGACATCTGGATGCCGACGCCTGAGCCCATCCCGAATGAGGCTTAGAAGAGAAGAGCCGGCTCAACGCCACAGAGACCAACGCCAGGATCAGGGTGCTTTTCCTAGCGTTGACAGGAAAACCAGGGTCTCCAGCGTCGACATCTGGATGCCGACGCCACGGCTCGATCCCCAGTTTTGAGGTTCTCTGGCGTTGAGCTAGCCGTTCTGGCCATGTCGGGTCAGAAGAAGCGGCCGTCCTTGGCCAGCCAAAAAGCTGCGGCATCAAGCTCGAAAAAGCCGAAGGCAACGACTGATGCGGCTGGCATCGGCAGTCACCCGCTTATCGAGGCTTTGAATGAAGCACAAGCGTGCCTGGCTGGGGAGTTGAAGGACCACGGTTGCAATTGCCAAATGCAGCAGACCTGTCTACATCATGTAGTGAGGAAGACGCATCTTGTGGCAGGACCTTCAGGGCAAGGAGCCCCTGGACTTTGCAGGCGTGTCTGCGTATGACAAGCAAGACTTTGCCGCTGCGATGAAGAAGTATGGATGCTTCGAGTGCTGTGTGACATTGGCATGGTTCAACCCTCTGCACTTTGCCCACCGAGCCATTCCTCCGGCTCTCGGCTTTCTGGTTGCACAACAGACTTTCGCGTCGCCGAATCGGATTCAGAGTGTATGCAGAAATTCACTGGTGCATCCTACTGTTTCCAATTATTAGAGTTTATCATCTTTCCGGTAGACATGTCGACGTGCAGCTGCTGCATGTCTCCACTTTGCATCGCTTGACACACTTGACCTGCTTTTTCAAAAGCCTGGCATCCAGTCTCCTGCCTCAGCTGGCAGCATAGACTCTACGTGTATGCCGGTGCACACCCATGTCTGAAGCTGTTAGATTCTGCTGTTATCTTCGGGGGTCATTCGTCGGTGGAGAAGAAGAAAAGGAATCATCAACCTACCCCAGGCTCCGTGAAGCTGAAAGCAGAGAAGAAGTACAAGACCAATGATGGGTTCTGGCATGCCGGAGACTCTGTCATGGAGCCTATCACGGTTCGCGCGAGGAGTGCGACCGACCCGCCCACACAAGACCTCGAAGCACTTCATAAAGATGCTGAGCGAGCTTCCTTTCTGTTTGCTTGGTGGCAGGCAAAAGTGCAGCACTTGGCCGAAAAGACCGAGGAGACGACCCGGGCATTGAAGAGCTTCTTCATGATGGCTCGCTCCTATCGTGTCACTCAGCAGCAACAAAATGAAGGAGTATCTCTCATGAATAGATGCATCCATTTGAGAATTCTGATGACATGTACCGAAGGTGCGCTATGTGTTGATACCCGACGACGAGCAGTGTGAACGCCGCAAGTTTGAGCTTGCGGAGGAAGTCGAAGACGACAAGGAGGTGTTGACGCTTCAAGGCTTTCGACAGCTGCGTGCGGTTCACATGCTCCAAGAGTTTCTTCGCCAACGGGGGAAGCCTTGCGATGCAGAGGCCATCGAGAAATGGAGCCTTTTCTGTAATATTCCTGTGTGACACTGCAAGAGATTCTCAGTATCAAAATCTTACCCATGTTTATCTCACTCGAGGCTTGGGCCCAAGATCAAGAACCTCAAGGCCCCCAAGATAAAGATGATGGTGCGGATCTACGACCGGATGAACCATCCGGAGGTGGAGAGTCTGATTGTTGCCCTCGACGATGAGTTTGGTTCCAGCCATTGCTTCAACCACCTATTTGCGTTGGACATCATCAGCAGCAAGACATGGATCCCGAAGAATGAGCCGGGCTCCATAGCATTGCTGAAATGGTGCATGGAGAGACTCAGCAGCATCACCAACTTAACAGACCAAGAACAGCAATCACGACGATAGCTTCGAAACCTTTGATTGAGTGCTCAACTAGATCTAAGGATCATTTGCGCAAACATCATGCAGGGCAGGGTCTCTGCAAAACTCACGAAAGAGGGAATGGTCCAGGAGGTAGCTATTGCCTTGCTCAAGAAAAGGGTCGCAACCTTCTGCATCAACAAGTTTGCTGGTGAAGACAAAGGCGATGTTACCTACGAGCCTCACCGGGCCCCATCGCAAGTTCTCTCTGCCATCTTCTCATCCTTTTCAGCGGTGCGGAGCAGTGGCATCATGGAGAGCAGCACAGCCAGTTCTTCCTTGGGCTGGTTGGGTCTGCTGCCAGCTTATCAGATCGATGTCATCATGTTCCTGGCCAAGGTCCTGCGGGGCCACGCTTCCTTGGACGAGATCTTTGATCACTGTGTCACACAGGACAAAATTGTCCCGGCAGAAACTGCCCTTGTGTGCGAGAAGATGTTGAAGTCGGGCCTCTTCGACCTCTCAGGGCTTCTTGAGAGCAAGAAGGAATCCGAGCTGAAGGCCCCACCCGATGCACCGGAGCCTCCGAAAGTAGAAGAGAAGGATTCTGAGAAGGATGAGAAGCCGGAAGAGCCAGACAAGGAAACCATCCTGGCTGGCGGCTGTGAAGAGGCTCCTAAGTCGGAGCCGCCACGTGTGAACCGCGTCTCCTGGTTCTCCAAGCTTCACATTCCTCAGGTGATTATCTCAGTCTTGGAGAAACACTCAGACCTTTACTTCGAGCAGGTCATCGAATGGGCTCAAATCAGGGTCCGTGCCTTCATGAATCTGGAGGTGAAAGAAACGGCCGTTCCGGCTCTGAAGGAGCAGCTTGCTCGGATCAAGGGTGGTTTGTCGTGCCTCTTCATCATGGACGTGAAGTCGCGACTGCGGCTGCCGTCGGATGGGATTCTGCTGCGCCCCTTCAGAAGGCCAGTCCCCCTCAACCAGTCTTCTTTCAGGAAGGTGCTCCATGCTTTATGGAATGACCCTGCCAAGCAAGAGACGCCAAGCATCGTCAGCATGTGCAGGTTGTAGTATTGGCTTCCCACAGTAGTACCTGTCGCCTAATTGATGACCGTTGTAAGGAAGCCGCCGCCCATGGTCTTTGATGAGCACGACATACTGCTCCTCCTTGACGGCAGGAGTCCGAGCACCTTCGACTACATGTCCAAAGAATTGGGCAAAGTTTTGAGGCCAGAGCCAGTGGCATCCTCGTTGCCAGTGCGCAAAACCACCATCATTCGCCGATTTTACAGGAACGACGAGTTCCAGAGCGGGTATGCTTCGGCGAGATGCAGACGCACACTCAATCCATTGTTGCCGGACCCCCTCGAAAATTTAGTGCTTGTGGCGACCAAGACGGCAATGGCAAGACTTCCGCTAAGACGCAGCTCCGAGGCTGAGAAGGTGCAGGACAATTACTGCCGCGGCTGGCAGGACATGACAATGAAGAGCCACCTATGTCAGCAGTTCAGCACCGTGACCCTCCAGACCTACGAGAAGCTGCTGAAGCCTGATGCCGGCACCGAGGGCGCGACCGAGGATAACCACGCCGTTGCCACTCAGGACCCTGTCAACGAGCCGGGGAACGATGACCCGGCATCTGCTGAAGGTATTTGGTGCACACCGTGGGAAAGCAGTGAGCAGGACTTCAAGCTGATGGTGGATCTGTTTCAGCCTGAGGGATGCAAGCGTGTGGTTGGCTTGGAAGCAGGCAGTGGCATGTTGCCTCTTCACTGCATCAGGCACCAAGTCAACTTCGTGGGCCTCGTTGACAGCGAGGCACACAAAGACTATGTGTTCCAGAGTTGCGTGCTCATGATTGCGCATGAGATACTCTTGGGCAATAGCCCACACTTCATCATGCGCAGCAGAATCCTCAAACGAGAAACGTCCCTTACTGGCGAGACGCCGGCGACGAGTCCCAGTTTGCCCTCCCCGGTGCCAACACCAGTTCGATCAGAGGACCGCCGGGTGGACAATCAAGCATCCCAGAGCCAAGTGGCAGGACTCTTCGGCGATGATGATGATGATGATGGTGCGGCAAGCGATCCGCACAGCGAGGCCTGATGTACTTTTGGCCCGTCGCGGCTAAGTCGTGATGGCGCGACAGCATGAGAGGAAGTTGGCTCCGTCCAGTGCAGTTACCGCAATGCACAATTCGAGTTTGAAACATGCGAACATGGCGGGCGGAACTTTCTCCTCTCGAGCAGCTGTGTAGCCGTGGAAGCTAGAGCCGTCTAGCGTTTTGCCACTCCGAGCTACACTTCCCCCTTTTGCTCAGACCCTTCACATCGTTCAGTTTTGCGCTGCGGCCCGCATGAAACAGCTTGAGCAGCCTGCTTAGCCTGCTTGCTCTGAGAGGCTACTTGTCCAGTTCTTGCAGGACTCAGCATGCAGTGCACACACGGCAGTTGCATCATAGTTGCTGGCCACATCCTCTCTGGCGTACAAATGTTCTCCACTGCCTGAGGGTTCATTCAATCGCTGGCCCGATAATCTGATGATCCCGAGGCTGCAGGCTGCAATGCATCGGATGCCGGTCGCCTGGCATGTTGTCCGGAGCCTTTAACTATCCAAAGTAGATGCTATGGTCATCAGGAGACTATATACTCCAGCCGCATATGATGAATAGATGTGGTTGACATTGACTGGGCCTTTGATGTGAGTTTCCACAGGTGGCGGCTATGGGCTATGGTGGGCTTGTCAGTGTTGTGTCGGATTTTGCTGGCAAACATTCGACAGGGGCGAGAGTGTGCCAGGGCACCGAGAGATGTGGTGTTGCAGTTACCGGAACGGAAGCCACATCCGCCAGGCTTTTGCAGTTTCGAGCTTCACTTAGCAACAGTACTTCTAGGGTCTGGGCTCCATGGCTCGCGCATACTATGCCGTGCCAGCAGGCGAATGGCGCGAGCTGGTGTCACAGATCCGTTACCTCAGGCCTGAGAGGGTGCTGCTGCGTGGATCCGGGCAAGGCGGTCTATCTTTGTCCATGTCCGTAATGGACGCGTGCTACGCATCTCTGCTTTGATATCAGCTGTCTTGATTCTTGTGATTCCGTCCTCTTGCTGAATGTGTTGTCATTTTCTTCCGGGATAATATAGCGAAGGCAGCCTGCATGCGTCTGGGGCGCATCCAGGGCTTCAATCTCTCGGGGGCTCACGACCGAGCCGTCAAGGGCGGCCACTTGGACATGTCCTTTGCCGTCCTCGAGCTCGTTATCCAGGCGCCTGCAATTGGCTACCCGTTTCGACTCGTCGAATCAGGGATCGAAGTCTCGGGCTTTCACCTGGGCGTGCATGAGGAAACTGCGCCCGGATGCATGGTGGGCTTGCAAGGCACAAGCAATGAGGAATGGTCCTGCAACGTCCGCAGTGTTATCATGTGTGCCCAGTCCTGGAGGAGCAGCATCACAGCGAACCCAAACGAAAAGAAGCCCACATGGACTTTGTATGCGATGCTGGACACAGGGGATGAGCAGCTGCAGAAGCCCGACTGGAGGGACCAGAACCTGGCGAGGGCCCAAGCTTCCCTTGCAATGTGGACTTTGGCTTCTTTTGAATTTCGGCATGCTGAGAATGCTGCTTCATGTTCAGCTTGATGTAAGGTCTTTACCGAGCTGATGCCGTACATGTTGCGGAACGTACCGAAGCGAATGCGTTTGGTGGGGACAGGGATTTGTTTGTTTCCCAACCGTTGTGAGGCCTTTTGCATGGCAGGGCTTTTTGCAAAGAACATGACCAAGAAGATGTGTGTCCTCGAGTTGATTCTCCCGGCGGAAGATATCCCCAGGGCCAAGGAGGCCCAGCTGATTGGTTGCGTCTGTTTCTCGTGCCCATTCGCCAATAGCCATCATGGGGAAGGGCAGCCGGGGCAGGTCTTCAACCTGAGCTTGGACTCCTTCTCCAAGGTCAACGCCCCTGTGGACTTTATCATCGCAAGACGTGCAGATGATGTTGCTGCTCCCACAGCCGACATCGGGAAGATTCTGATGCGCATGGCCGTGCAAGCGGGCACATACATCGGCAACAATGCGTGGGATGGCCTCTCTAAGCAGCAAAGCCTGGCGGACATAGTGCAGCCACAAGCCCAAGCCAGGAGCCACCATGAATGAGTGTATCAGGTGTTCATACTTTGTCAGCCGGGCAATGCATCCCTGACAGGATTGCCAAGAAGGCTTCGGAGCTTGAAGATGAAGTGCTTCGTGCAGAAGAACGCCTGGCTGGGCTCAAGGACAAACTAGAGATTATGAAGTCTGCTGAGGAAAGCAAGCCATTGCAGGGCCAGAAGCGCCCAAGGGTCGAGGTTGAGTGAGGCTCTCCGTTTTTTTCACGAGTCTGACTACATTGCTGGGTTAACCCGTGGCATTGCATAGTCAGTCGTTTTGCGTACAGACATCTCCCAGGACCTTCCTTCAGTTTTGCATAGGTCACGCTTGCAGTTGCCGTCTGAAACCTTCGCACTAAAAAGTCCGATTGTCAATCTTCAATTTGCAAGTTAGCTTTCAGCAGAAGGCCTTTCCAGAATAGCAATGATGAGGGTCAGTGCATGTGAACGTGATGCTGCTGTCACACTTAACAAAGGTCTTCAGAGGTGATGGGGCTTTGGTTCTGGCCATGACAAACTACAAGCTTTGCTTTCGAACTATTCTTGTCATTCTGGGCTAGGCTCCCGGCCCATTCTGTGCTTGCAGCCCAAACACGCTGAGAAAATTGATTTGTCAGGTCCGGCCTTCTTCTTTCACTGCTGCTTCCACCTGAATGCAGGCTGGCGCATAAAGCACAGAGTTTTCAGACCATTGAGTAGACTTGTCAAGAACATGTCTGATACCTCTTGTCTGCCGGTTGCAAGCCCGGGTAGTTTTGCTTCATTTCAAGAAGCTAAGCTAACCTGTCCCATGCGACAATTGGCCTCCCACTCTGACGCTCAAGCTCGAGTGATGGTATCATGCTTGTCAAGTGGTCACTGGTCATCTGGTAGGGTGGTCTGCCAATAACTATGATTCATAAAGTGGTCATTTACAATACTTCTTTGTGGGTTCGGCGACAATCTCTACATTGCACTGCCCAGATTCAGGTCCAATGCAACGGGTCGGAATTGAAAGCTTGGTTGCCAGGTCCTTGCAAGATTGCTTCAACTTTAGATTCCAACGGCCCTTGCGAAATTGCTTGAACTTTAGATTCCAGCGGCCCTTGAGATTCTAGTGGTCCTGCCCGGTTACTTAACTAATTGTTGATTCCAGAGTGCTCTGCCTGTTGCATGGTGCCAAGACGCGTATCTGGAAAACGGGCGCCAGAGCATGTTTTGGAGCCCGAGCAGCCAGAGGATGCAGCCTTCGGTGTGAAACGGCGGCCGGCGAAACGGACAGTGAATCTTGCTGCTGCGGCCGTCCGCAGCATGGCACCGCCGAAGCGGACAGCCTACGCTCTCCACGTCCAACATGAGTATCCAAGGCAAAAAGAGTCTTTATTCCCTGGGAGGGGCAAATTGAAGCAAAGGGAGCATCGACAGGTCATCTCTGAAATTGGGCGGTTATGGCATGAGCTGTCAAATGATGAGAAGGCTCTTTATGAAGGGGATGCATCGGCTGAATCACAACATCGCAAGGAGGTCATCCAGAGTTTGCAAGTTCCTGAAGAGAAGCTGGCGTGTGCTGCACCAACGCTTGGCGATGCTATGCGCATCGGATCTTGGGAATTTATTGGCAAAGAGCCTTTGGCAACGGGCCGCTCCTCCTCTTTGTACCTTGTTCAGCACAGTATCTTGAAGAAGCACGCTCAGGCGGCAGTATATCTGCAAAAGGATGATCTTCAGGAGGAGCTGCGTGGCTTGAAGATTCTGAGCAACATCTTTGCGGAGAACCCGGAGGTTGATTGGATGGAGGCATTGTATATGGTACCGCTGTACTTCTTAGTGGACGGCCCGACTCCATGCATAGTGCATGAACACTTGCCGTCCTTGCATGGCTATGGTGCTATGGGAGACAACTCACGTCTCATGAGAGACGTGGCAGAACAGATGGCCACATCCCTGAAGTTCTTACACGAACATGGTGTGCTCCATTTAGATATTAGACCAAAGTCATGGTTTTTCAGTGTCAGTGAGAATATCACCAAATTGGGGAACTTCCACGCCGCCATCCTCGAGGCAGAGGCGACTAATCTAAAATTTCATCCTTACGCTACTGGCTACCGTCCGCCGGAACTACATTGCGCATTGCACGATGCTGTTGCGACAAGGCACGCCGAGGCTTGGGCACTTGGCGCCAGTTTGGCGCACATTGCCTCAGGAGAGCCTCCGTTTCAGACTTTGGCAGCAATCCTGAAGTTTCAAGCACAGGCTAAGACGGCTAAGAGGCACGAGGCTGCTTCGAATCCAGCTCTGAAGCTCCTACGGGATCCTGTGCAGCTGGCCTTGCTTCGCTTGTTGTCGCCTGAAGACCAGAGGCTTTCAGTGTCCGAATGGCTGGAGCAGAAGCAATTCTCGGTGTTTCTCCTTGAGCCCTAGTCGTGGTTCGGTCGGACCGAGGTGGCAGAACGACGGACTGAATCAAGTCTTGGCAGGAGGGCTGAATGCTCAGCGCCCGTCAGCTGAAGCTGTGGACTAAAAGGGGCGAGAGCAACCGTGCAGTCTAAGTCTACTTAAGACCAGGTATTCGCATCTTCTCCACACTGAAAAACACCTAGGGTAACACGTTTGTCTGTCCAACTTAGTAGAATCGTTGTGCGATTTAAACCGGCTTGGATTGCGTAATGATGAGAGACAGATATTCGGATTCAATCTCCTTGCCAATCGCACCTCTTGCCTCTTGCAGCAAATCGAGAAAGATGTGGGTGTGTGTGTGTGGGTGTGTCTGTATGTGTGTGTGTGTGTGTGTCGCAACTGTCCGTCCAGGAGTGCATGCCAGGGCATCCGGCTATGTTTGTAGAGGATGCAAGAAGCGACCTTCGTTTGCAGTGCCCAGACTTCGTGCCTGTCCCGGTTAAGATGGTGATGGTCATGCTGGTAATGATGATGAGGACGACTACGATGATGATGTGGCGATGATTACTATTATGACTCTGTCTTATATTTCTGGTGATGATGATATTGACGCTGAGAATAATGATGCTGCTGCATATTATAGTTACTTTTCGCTATGCTCATTGATTCTTGTGTTCGACGAGACATGTCTTAGTCTTGAGGGACATTTGCCCCACATTGCCAGGCACGCTTGGGCACCGCTCTCTCTGCAGGCCGACGTTGTGTGCCAGGAGAGACCTGAGTGTGCTAATTAGCCAATCAGTGTTTGAACGTGTTTGTGCAACCATTCTGTGCTGCACGGAGTCCTTGAAAACACGCAGTTTGCACATGGCATGCTTGGGTCGCTTTGAAGGCAGTGAACTTCCTGTGATTTTCCTATTCAAGGGTTGCCCGGTTCCCAAGTACAGCTTCGGCCTCTGGAGTGGCTAGACTGCTCCGCGATGGGGAAGAGCTGCAAGAAGCGCCCAGCAGCTGCCAATCCTTCTGCTGAGTCTCAGAAGCCAGCAAAACGACATCTAGCAGAGATTGCACGATTGCAGCAAGAGACTACAGATGCTCCCTTCAAGCCGCGGGAGTACCTTGAAGGATTATGCCAGCAGTTAGGAATTGGCTCCGTTTCGGGGGAAGTCATTCCATGGGCTTCGGCTTTCGATGGGGCAAATGCCCCTGGAATGGTGATGAAAGTCTTGAAGGATGCCCGAGGTTTTATTCCGCGACACATCTGTGGCAACCTGGCTGCGCTCATTTTTCAAAAAAGAGCACAAACGAATGTCCATTGCCTTGTGTGCAGTATATAATCCATGCAAGGTGCGGAGAAGTGCCGAGCAGCTGCATTCTACTGTTTGCGGAACTACAAGTGCTCACATGTCTTCCAGGACGGCAGGTCTCGTTTGCCTCTGCTGCCGGGATTATCCTGTAGCACAGAATTTATTGTCTCGACAGGATTGCGAAACGTTGGACAAGAAGACTGGCTTCTGCTGGACCCACGGGAAAATGTGTGAGACACCAAACTGCTCCAGGGTCCTCTTCTTCCTGGGCGGCTTTGTCTGCAAAAGCACGTCCAAGCAGAATCCTAGCTGCAAACACTTCTTGCAATGTGCCACTTGAAGATGCCATGATTGTGCACTCGTGCTCAAGGAGTGTCAATCGCTTCTTCGAGGATCCCCTGAAACAGGATGCTGAAACGATGATTACGTTCGAGACGATGCTTCGTGTGCTGGTGGCCCACAAGCCGCCGACATTCGTGCTAGAGAATGTCATGGGGACAAAGAGCTCCAGCCAGCAGGTAAGTTCATGCTTCACAGTGCCTCGCGCGAGTTTCCTGGATCACGAACGTCAGCTAAGGATGAGGAGGGTGAACAAGGCCGACGAGCAAGATCCAGATGCCTGTGCGCCTGACCTGTCGAAGTACAAATGCCCTCTTGATTATTGTTTGGACGCCTTGCAGAAGAACCTTCCTGGTTACACCTTGGCTGTGGTTGAGATCGACAGTCATCCGCTCCCTGAGGAGCGGAAGAGGGTATGGATCCTGGGATCCTCTTCTGTCGCTTTCTCCGCCGATGCGTGGAAGATGGAGGTGCTGGCCCTGGAGCAGCAGCAGCTACCAAAGCACCACTTGAGCAGTTTCTTCAAACTGTATGGCCAGCAAGCCGGTGCCACCATGGATGTTGATGCAGACAAGGACAGCAGAAAGCAGCCCAACCTCTGGGATGCTGAGAAGAAATATTCTGCTGCATATGCTGCTGCGGTTGAAAAGGCTGTGCAGGCGAAGCGGCTGAGCGATGATTTCAAGCCACCTCCAAGGCATGAGCGACCGAGTGCCAAAATGGGCAAGCACCTGACGGCTTGGATGCAAGCAAATTGCGATGTCTACAGCGCGATTCTACTCCAGCAGCAACGGGAGATCGAGGAGCAGATGCCGTCAATTCCAAGGGCCCCCTTTCCTGTTGCGGATGTCATGCAGAGCGTCTCGCGTGGACATTTAAGCCTCAGTGGCCACTGGGGGACACTTTGCACATCATCGAAGCTGATGCACATGGACACCTTCCAGCTCATGCCGGGCAGAGGGATGCTTGCTATGCTCGGCAACACAGTGGAGAATCACGTGCACCTCGGCCTCAGTGAATCGGAATTGGCCAGCCTTGCAGGCAATTCCATGTCATTCACTCAGTTGTCGCGCGTTCTTCTCCCGCTCGTGGCACACCGTCGGTCCATCCTGACGCAGCCTCCCAGGGCATAGTAAGTTTCACATGTAGCGCAGGTGATGGCAGTGTGATTTTGGGAGCAGCTCTCATGCAATTGCTCCGTGCAAAGCATTTCCACGACATTCGGTGCGACGCTGCCTTGGTTCACCTCAGATGCCTGACCGGAGCATGTCAGCAAGAACAGGGAATCAGATGTGGAAGTTGATTTAGTTGCTCAGCTTTCATGCATGAGTTTCTGTTGCCACGCGATTGCATCAGACATCATGAGCTCACCATGCTATCTGATGGAAAACAGTTTGGACCAAGTGCTGCCAAAACAGCTTGCCGATCCTGCTAGCAGCTATGATGTCTGCCGATAATGACAGGACCCAGACTCCGGCTTCTTTGCGAGTCTTATGGTATGGCAAGGGGCTGAACTCAGCTATGTGCTTGTCTTGCGAACAAGAAGTGATTACACTTGTACCGAAATTGGAGCATATTGCTGTGCTCGGCAAAGTGCGGTATTCCTCGAAGTGGCCCCGATTGAGATCCTTGCAAGTGGCAGATGGGCAACAGCTCCATCTCAAAGCCGCCACAGGCTGCACAGATGTCTTTGTCGGCACTGTTGGCCGGGGTGAGCTGCAGGATGCTTTGAAACAGGCCACGAACGTCCGGAGTGTGACGGTGATTGGTCTCATGCTTCTTGGCGAGGGTCCTGCAGTGGACTGGCAGAAGCTTGCGGTAGATGGTTGGAGCCACGTCTGCCATGAAATACCGTGGGCCACCTGGACCCCGTTTGATTCCAGCAGCCTCCTGCTCTTGACAAGAAAGCCTGGCCTTGAGCAGGCGCTGCACGCCAAGTACAAGCAGGTTTCTGATGAGATGACGCAAAATGCCACGAAGAGCAAGCTGTCTTATCCCTTCAACGAATATGCTGCCATGACCCCTGTCGAGAACACCTCGGACCTGATCAATGTCCAGCAGGCAGGCAACGATGTGATCTTCTATGTCATGGACAAGGCCAAGAGACAGAGAGTCACAGCCCAGATTCCAGCCGCAAGAAGCAACCAGGCGGTGATGTGTTCAGGTCCGTGGACTGGGGTGCGAAGGCTTGAAGCTGTGGATTGGCTTCTGATGATGGGGTACAGCGGTACCGTGGTCAATGGTCACTTGAACAGCGAAGCTGCGCAGATGTCAGTTGTTTGCAATTCCATCCCACGTCAAATGGCCGAGCTCTTGTTGAAGGTCGTTAACCATGCCGCGGCCTTGTGAGCCCCGAGCAAACACGATTTTGAGCATGTCCTTTCCTGAGCTTGCGTTTTCGGGTGCCAGACAGCTTCGTCATCAGGAGATGCAGAAAGAAATGCATGTTCGGCCGTCCTGTCAGTAGGTGACTGCATAAACATGGTTGAGCCTCTTGTGCTGCATCACTTCGCTGCATGACACCTTCTTCCGAGAGTTATTCATGCTAGCTGCCGTTTCTCTGAGACTGGTGCGAGCTCCTGTTGAACCTGTGCTCACCCTGGACTTCGGTCTGGGGTGTCCAGGCGCGACGGCTTATATTCAGGTTGTGCTCGCCCTGGACCGAAGTCCAGGGCGTCCAGCCTGCAAGGTTGTTGCAGGGCTCTAGTCTGGCTTTGCTTTGTTGCTGCTAGTGGGTTCCCAAGGGCTATCAATAGTTCACAAGCAAGAGGAAAGCACAGCCGGAATCACCAATCTGTATGAGGTTCTTAATTGGCATCTCGACTTGCATCGCGTCGTTACATGTGCAGTTGGAGCACAGGAAAACACGGACCGAAAAACGAGCCATCGATCTTGTAACGGGTGCATCAGTAGCCAAGTCTGTCCGAAAATATCCCAGTGCTTATGTACACCCGTAACACTTAATTTTGCCCAGACTGTCGCCTGGCATGTGTGAATACATTCGACTGATGAATATGCAGATGCATTCAATCATTCCGCAGCTCTGGACTCCAGGTATCATCGGCTGGCTGAGTGCTGGCCAAAGCGATGAGTGTTTCTCTTGCAGAGAAGAAGGATGGCAGTTAACACAGGGCTATAGAAAATCCAGGCTTCTGCAAGAGAGACATTGGAGTCCGTTTGTGCAGCAGATCTAAAAAGAGTTGAGGGCAGAACGGGGGCACGATGGCATGTTGCTGCTTGCCTTGCCGGTAATCTGATCATGTTGGGGACGACCCGGCCCCCCGTAGAGGGATCAAGCAGTAAGAATTAAATTTTTACTCACAGCCCAAACTGGTACCAGCCAAGACGAAGACCCTAAGGAGTGAACCCAGCAGGACCCAGCGCCGAAGACAAAAATCCTACGGAGCGAATCCAGCATGAACCTTCTGCCGAAGTAGAAACCCCAAGGGGTGAATCTAAGAAGAACCTTTCATCGAAGACGAAGGCCCTAAGGAGTGAACCCAGCAGGAACTTATAACCGAAGACGAAAACCCTAAGGAGTGAATCCAGCATGAACTTTTTGCCGAAGATGAAACCCTAAGGGGTGAATCCAAGAAGAACCTTTCACCCAAGACGAAGACCCCAAGGAGTGAACCCAGCAGGACCCAGCGCCGAAGACAAAAATCCTACGGAGCGAATCCAGCATGAACCTTCTGCCGAAGTAGAAACCCCAAGGGGTGAATCTAAGAAGAACCTTTCATCGAAGACGAAGGCCCTAAGGAGTGAACCCAGCAGGAACCTATAACCGAAGACGAAAACCCTAAGGACTGAATCCAGCATGAACTTTTTGCCGAAGATGAAACCCTAAGGGGGGAATCCAAGAAGAACCTTTCACCCAAGACGAAGACCCTAAGGAGTGAACCCAGCAGGACCCAGCGCCGAAGACAAAAATCCTACGGAGCGAATCCAGCATGAGCCTTCTGCCGAAGTAGAAACCCCAAGGGGTGAATCTAAGAAGAACCTTTCATCGAAGACGAAGGCCCTAAGGAGTGAACCCAGCAGGAACCTATAACCGAAGACGAAAACCCTAAGGGCTGAATCCAGCATGAACTTTTTGCCGAAGATGAAACCCTAAGGGGGGAATCCAAGAAGAACCTTTCACCCAAGACGAAGACCCTAAGGAGTGAACCCAGCAGGACCCAGCGCCGAAGACAAAAATCCTACGGAGCGAATCCAGCATGAACCTTCTGCCGAAGTAGAAACCCCAAGGGGTGAATTTAAAAAGAACCTTTCATCGAAGACGAAGGCCCTAAGGAGTGAACCCAGCAGGAACCTATAACCGAAGACGAAAACCCTAAGGAGTGAATCCAGCATGAACTTTTTGCCGAAGATGAAACCCTAAGGGGTGAATCCAAGAAGAACCTTTCACCCAAGACGAAGACCCTAAGGAGTGAACCCAGCAGGACCCGGTGCCGAAGACAAAAACCCTACGGAGCGAATCCAGCATGAACCTTCTGCCGAAGTAGAAATCCCAAGGGGTGAATCTAAGAAAAACCCATCGAAGACGAAAACCCTAAGGAGTGAATCCAGCATGAACTTCTTGCCGAAGATGAAACCCTAAGGGGTGAATCCAAGAAGAACCTTTCACCCAAGACGAAGACCCTAAGGAGTGAACCCAGCAGGACCCATCGAAGACAAAAAACGAGCGAGCATGAACCTTCTAAGTAGAGTCGAAGACGAAGGCCCTAAGGAGTGAACCCAGGAACCTATAACCGAAGACGAAAACCCTAAGGACTGAATCCAGCATGAACTTTTTGCCGAAGATGAAACCCTAAGGGGTGAATCCAAGAAGAACTTTTCACCCAAGACGAAGACCCTAAGGAGTGAACCCAGCAGGACCCAGCGCCGAAGACAAAAATCCTACGGAGCGAATCCAGCATGAACCTTCTGCCGAAGTAGAAACCCCAAGGGGTGAATTTAGAAAAGAACCTTTCATCGAAGACGAAGGCCTTAAGGAGTGAACCCAGCAGGAACCTATAACCGAAGACGAAAACCCTAAGGAGTGAATCCAGCATGAACTTTTTGCCGAAGATGAAACCCTAAGGGGTGAATCCAACAAGAACCTTTCACCCAAGACGAAGACCCTAAGGAGTGAACCCAGCAGGACCCAGCGCCGAAGACAAAAATCCTACGGAGCGAATCCAGCATGAGCCTTCTGCCGAAGTAGAAACCCCAAGGGGTGAATCTAAGAAGAACCTTTCATCGAAGACGAAAACCCTAAGGAGTGAATCCAGCATGAACTTTTTGCCGAAGATGAAACCCTAGGGGGTGAATCCAAGAAGAACCTTTCACCCAAGACGAAGACCCTAAGGAGTGAACCTAGCAGGACCCAGTGCCGAAGACAAAAATCCTACGGAGCGAATCCAGCATGAACCTCTGCCGAAGCAGAAACCCCAAGGGGTGAATCTAAGAAGAACCTTTCATCGAAGACGAAGGCCCTAAGGAGTGAACCCAGCAGGAAACTATAACCGAAGACGAAAGCCCTAAGGAGTGAACCCAGCATGAACTTTTTGCCGAAGATGAAACCCTAAGGGGTGAATCCAAGAAGAACCTTTCATCCAAGACGAAGACCCTAAGGAGTGAACCCAGCAGGACCCAGCGCCGAAGACAAAAATCCTACGGAGCGAATCCAGCATGAACCTTCTGCCGAAGTAGAAACCCCAAGGGGTGAATCTAAGAAGAACCTTTCATCGAAGACGAAGGCCCTAAGGAGTGAACCCAGCAGGAAACTATAACCGAAGACGAAAGCCCTAAGGAGTGAACCCAGCATGAACTTTTTGCCGAAGATGAAACCCTAAGGGGTGAATCCAAGAAGAACCTGTCACCCAAGACGAAGACCCTAAGGAGTGAACCCAGCAGGACCCAGTGCCGAAGACAAAAATCCCACGGAGCGAATCCAGCATGAACCTTCTGCCGAAGTAGAAACCCCAAGGGTGAATTTAAGAAGAACCTTTCATCGAAGACGAAGGCCCTAAGGAGTGAACCCAGCAGGAACCTATAACCGAAGACGAAAACCCTAAGGAGTGAATCCAGCATGAACTTTTTGCCGAAGATGAAACCCTAAGGGGTGAATCCAAGAAGAACCTTTCACCCAAGACGAAGACCCCAAGGAGTGAACCCAGCAGGACCCAGCGCCGAAGACAAAAATCCTACGGAGCGAATCCAGCATGAGCCTTCTGCCGAAGTAGAAACCCCAAGGGGTGAATCTAAGAAGAACCTTTCATCGAAGACGAAGGCCCTAAGGAGTGAACCCAGCAGGAACCTATAACCGAAGACGAAAACCCTAAGGACTGAATCCAGCATGAACTTATTGCCGAAGATGAAACCCTAAGGGGGGAATCCAAGAAGAACTTTTCACCCAAGACGAAGACCCCAAGGAGTGAACCCAGCAGGACCCAGCGCCGAAGACAAAAACCTTACGGAGCGAATCCAGCATGAACCTTCTGCCGAAGTAGAAACCCCAAAGGATGAATCTAAGAAGAACCTTTCATCGAAGACGAAGGCCCTAAGGAGTGAACCCAGCAGGAACCTATTACCGAAAACGAGAACCCTAAGGAGTGAATCCAGCAGGAAGCTTCGACCGAAAAGGAAAACTTGTCAAAAACAAGAAAAAGTAGGGAGTCACAGATGACCCGTGTTGGTGTGTGAAAACAACATTGAAAAGCAAGGCAAAAGGATCGGGAGTCACAGATGACAGGCGCTTGTTTGACAGGAAATCACAGGCCTGCCAATGCATAAGAGCACTTTCGGGTGAGGTGATGTGTGGTGATGCCAGGCGGAGGGAGTCACAAATGACGGGGATTTACCTGGCCAAGAGCCAGGAACGTAGGGAGTCACAAATGACAGAAATAGGGAGTCACAAATGACAGGAGGGCCGACCTAGAACCCACGTCAATGTACTGGGGCCTAAGAAGGCTTCCCACAATCCATGGATATTCTCAGTGTGATTTTATAGCTTGTTGTTATTGTTGGTTTGCTTTAAATATGTGAACTTGGAAGTCCAGCTTGAAGGCCTTGGGAGTTAGGGTACTACATTGCGTTAACTTTCAGGACCTGACTCCTGAAGGCCCCCGGCCCCCGGAGTGATGCAGTAAGTGCATAGTTCAGTTGCCGACCCGAACGTATGGACCTCGTCTGGCTTGTCCGAGTTGCGAGAGTTCAGTACCTGCGTAGTGTAAGTCCGCTTGATTTCATTTTCGTCCGAAGCAGTTATGCAGTGCAGGCTAGCGAGCAGCTATGAAAGCAACCGCAAACCTTCAGGCTTCGATCTGAGGGCCAAGACGATCAAGCTGGATGCTGTTTCTGCTTTGATGACAGGCGGGGACCTTTCTGACTCTTTCACTTGACACACTCCAGGTGCCTTCGTGCAGGTAAAAGAACTGTCCGTACGTGCCCCTAGTCAGGCTTTTGCGATTGTGTTGTACATCTTGATCGCGACCTCAAGCTGCTGGAGGATGATGTGCCGAAGCAAAACAGTTGAGAGCATGTGCTTCGGGGCATACGACATAAGGCATCATGACCAACAAACAGGGCGCCAAAACCGAGATGTTTGGCCACTTCGACTTCGGGGCACACGCTTGCAACATGCTTGGAATCTCCACATCAACGAGGGCTCTGCCCTCAGCCTCTTGGAGGCCTTGCTCCGACGCCACCTGACGCTTGCCACACCTGGCTAGGGCAAGTCGTTGGTTCGATTGTCAAATCCAGTGAGCCAGCTTCGCTCTCCCAAAATCTCCCGATTCCTTGGCGATGTTATACAACATGTGGTGTGAATAGGCTGTTTTCCCGTGACGGCTCGCCGACTGCCTTTGCCGAGCTGCTGCCACTGCTACCAATTCGCGTGACACTGCGGGGGTCATAAATCCAAGATCGACGTTCCATCAACAGAAATGCCTGCGAATTTATCCTGCACCTGAAACTTTAACGCTTAATCACGTTGCCGGGAACGCCGGAGATAACGAAAACGAGAAACGGCCTTCGTGCTGAAGCTCGATCCAGTGTGCCTGCTGACTGACTGTCATGGGCTTCTGGTTCTGCCCAGTTGCAATATGGACACAGAACTCGCACTGCCGTCCATGGTTCCAGAGATTTGTTGAGCGGACACTGCTTGGTTGAGGTTTGAAAGCCATGTTCCGAAGGACTCGCCGAGGATCGCGGCACTGCTCCTGTGTGGAGCCTCGAATTGCAGCCGCGGCGCAAGCTTTCTGGAGCTACTAAGCAGCAATGAGGAGAGCCGAGATTGTCCTCTAGCATTGTCTCGATAGTTCCATGACGTTCTCTTGCCTTTGTTGTTGGTCACTTGTTATGACGAAGCTCCGTCTATACATGCACTAATGCTTGCTTCCAGGAATCAAGTCTAACAAATATGCACGCGAAACACCGCTACGATTCAAGAACTTGGAATAGACAGAGTCTGTTTACATAACTGCACGCTCTCTGTGGCTGCCTGTCCCTCCCTCTCCCTCCCTCTCCCTCCCTCCCTCTCTCTCTCCCTCTCTCTCTCTCTCTCTCTCTCTCTCTCTCTCTCTCTCTCTCTCTCTCTCTCTCTCTCTCTCTCTCTCTCTCTCTCTCTCTCTCTCTCTCTCTCTCTCTCTCTCTCTCTCTCTCTCTCTCTCTCTCTCTCTCTCTCTCTCTCTCTCTCTCTCTCTCTCTCTCTCTCTCTCTCTCTCTCTCCCCCCCTCTCTCTCTCTCTCTCTCTCTCTCTCTCTCTCTCTCTTTCTCTCTCTGTCTCGCTTTCTTTGTCTCTCTATCTCGCTCGCTCTCTCTCTTTCTCTCTCTCTCTCTCTCGCTCCCTCTATCTCTCTGTCTATCTGTCTAAGTCTATGTACTTATCTATCTGTCCATCTCTCTATCTCAAACTCTGTGTATGTATACATATATATATACTGTACATCTCGGCCCGATTGGCGGAAGCCTAGGTTAGTTTGCGAGGACGATCGAGGCTGGCAGGACTCAGGGTTTGAGGCTTTCCCACATTTTGCAGCTGCAGAAGGTTGGACTCAGATAGGCAGGGCTCACACTGGACGTGTCTCAGAGACGCTCCTGGAGGCCGTGTTCGAAGCCTCTTCGCTGATTCGTTCGCTGCGCCTGTGACGCATTCTTTGGCTCTCAATGTGCGCCTCGTGGACTCCGATAGCAATCAGGTGAAGGCCGGGAGAAGAATAGGGCAGAAGCAAGTTCCATCATGTTCCCACCAGCAAGGTGGAGATGATGCACATACCCTTCTTTGACGAGCAGGGCGAACCTTGCCACCTACTGTGTTTGAGGGAGTCGGACGATGTCACCACGGCATCAACAGTGGCACCACTACAGCGTGACACCGTGTCCGCAACCCTGGTCAATTTTGGCGATGCCACGGAGCAGGCTTATGTTGTCTTTGACGCCATGACATTCGACATCCTCCTTGCAAGCAGCGACTTCGAGGCTCTGTTCGCCAAATGCACAGGACACGCTGCCAATCTTGAGGAAATGAGCGTTCACGACTTGTCCACGGATGTCGGAGAACCATCCCTGAGTCGGCGGATTCAGCTAGTGGTAAACTCATTCTATCACAACAGCTCGAACAACGTCGATCTGGGTGTCTTTCAATTCTTCGGCGCGTGCAAGATGCAGGCCAAGTCGCACATGTTAAGGTTTACGAAGCCTGGCATTTCAGAAATCCCACTCTGCATGCTCCATCCGAAGATATGAATGCAAGCCTTGATGACTTTCAAAGGTGCGAGTGGAATTGCAGCACGACCCAGTTCTGGCAACGCTTGTCGGTACGCTCCATGTCACGCCGACAAATCCCGGACTGCTTCTTCAGCCGCAGGACCTGTTAAGAGTCAAGCCATAACCTATCCTTGTCATCCTGTCTGCCAATGCTTCTTGGCCGGCCGGTGTTCATCCAATATATGCCTGGCCGCGAGGTGCATGTGGGCCGGCGCAAGAAGACTCGAAGCCACTATGCCAGTCCGGTGCCCAGCGCGCCGTTTGCGTGCACAGAGCACGCTTTAGGAGGCATCGTGTTTGGGCAGCCATTGCGGTGCTGCACAAAGCCATCAACAAAGCCAGAGATCGCATAATTAACTACTCTGAGTTCATGGCAACTGCTGCTGAAAACGGGAAGGAAATCATTGCTCTGGTTCATCGAAACAAGATTGTTGATTTATCCGTCAGCACAGAAGGAGAGCCTTGATTCGTGTCTGTGGTAAGTCTGCGAGAAGGCCGAGTCGTTGCTTCATGATTTCAGAAAAGCAAGGCCCACGCCCGTTGATGACGACCTTCCCAACTCGTCGTGTGATCGAGCTTTAGGCTTTGGGGCATGTCAGCCTCGGGTTTTTTCGGCACGGTATGGCCGCTGTAGTCTTCCCAATCCCGAAATTCCTTGCGTCGGTTTCAGTGTCCGCAGGCGAGGCTTTTGGCCACACATGCTTGAGAGCGAGAAAGCTTCTGACACTACATGAACTTCAGGAAATAGTAAAAACCGGGCGAGGAATTAGCGACACTTGAGTGCACACTTTCACACAGCCATAGAAACTGATGAGAGGGCACAAGTAAGAATTCCACCTCGCTTGCACGCAAAGACCATGCAGATGCATTGAATTCGTTTGCCGCAAGCTGTCACACGAACAGGTCGGCATCATTTCTGCATTTAACAGTTTGAGGACGTGGCAGCATGTTTCCCTGTGGTCATCGGAGGCTGTGGCAGGAAAACAGCAACGAATGCAAGCTTCGGGACGTGGGTATTGCATTGACGATGGCCAATGTCTACAATATGTTTGAAGCTCTCCTGGTGTATCACTTAAGCATCGCAGTCTGACAGCATCCCTTGTCGAACAAACCTGTGGGACCCTGCGTGGCCAAGTCGAGACTGCCAACACCAAAACAGTCGAAGAGAGGCTTGAGTTTCGTGGTGCATGTCATCTCCCGATGCATTGCATTTGCACATATCTCGCATCGAGTCTGCCAGACGTTCGCATGAATGCAAAAGGACACTGTGAAGCCATGCAGATCACCACGCATGTTGAGATTTTCGACGTGAGATCCCGACTCTTACTTACGAATTGTTGCTTCCGAGGGGAATCGCACCCTTGCAGAACAGCGCAGCTCGTCGCCCCTTCATCGTAATAAATAGTAGCTGTGCACTTCAGGCTTGGCGATCTCAGCCGTGTAGCCGATCGTGCCCTGCGCGAGATGAAGCATGGGCCTCAGATGCCCAACCGTGCTTAGGGCATAGGGAGCTGCTCTCATGTCGGCGAATGCCACTTCAGTCCTGACTCGGGAATGGCCGAGTCCCCATGCACGATTCAAGCTGCAGCGGGACCATAGCAGTGCGGCTTAACGGATGAATCAAAGTAGAAATTATGAGTACATGCAGTTCCAATGCTAAAACTTGTGGGAAAGACGACGTCAACGCCATGCGGGGTCTAGATAGAGTGTGGAATGCTCCAGAACCTGCAAAGCTGCGACGACAGGTAAACAGGTCGGAATGTCACACAAACTAAGGTTGTGCCGATTACCTGCACGATACCTGTAAGTTCGCAAAGCTGGTTAGAGACTGGACCTAGTTCTTCACCTGAAGCCTTAGTTGGGGCGGAACGAGATTGCGAGACTACCGCTAGACAGCTGAGCGGCATGCCGGAGCCAAAGCCTGCTGATTCACACCGCAAACGGGCACGGGAGGAGACGGTGGAGGACTCCCCAACGTTTCGAGGGCTTGGAAGGGCAGACGACCCAGTTTAGGCATTCTGGCCCTGACCAGTGTTAGACGATGTTCTGTTATTGGAGCCGGACTGCAATCCTACGGAAAGATTTCACTGGTCTTCTTGCAAAGCCAGAACCTAAATCTGCCGGCACACAACCTGTGGAGATCCAAACACTCCCATTTCCAGGGTCAGGTCGAAGCAGGAATTTCCACATGCAGTTCGTGCTGCTCAGGCTCCTGTCAACTGAATGTTCTGAATGTTGATCAGCATGCATCAGCGAATATCAGCGACCTGTTTGCTGACGTGGTTTTGAAATTCCATGCTTGCTTTATGCTTCCGGCCAACAGTCCCAACTCAATGTAGCATAGCCTTTTCAAGATGCAGAACCTGAACCACGAGTTCAGGACACAGCACAAGACCTGAAGCAGCGAAAGCTTGATGGCTTCTTCAGGCATCGGACCAAGACTTGCGGAAGCGGGTTTCTTCATGACGGAGTGAAGACGTCAAAAGACTGGTCGCTTCAGGAAACTGGCTTCCTTCAAGGAGGGAGTGCAAACCCGCTGCAGGTCGCACTCGGCACCTGCCTTGGCCGCAAGCGTGGCATCACCACTGCGCTCGAAGTCGGCGCCCGTGCTGGGTCAGGCAGCGTTTTGGCTTGAGACATCGCGTTGCTTTGCCTGGGACGACTTTGGGGTTTGCTGTGCCTTCCTCGCTTTAGGGTTTGATCTTTTGAACGACTTTAGGGCTTCATGTTCGGGACGATTTTCGTTTTTGCTTTGCCTTCCTCGTTTTGGAGTTTCGTCTTCGGGACAGGGCTTCGTAGTCCGGGTTTGCTACGTCTTCCTCGCGTTAATGCCCGCCTGTTTTGCGATCCGGCATATCTGGAGTAGCAAAGGCATGGCCGCAATGCGCAAGTCAGGTCCTCACACAGCGGGAACACGTCCTGCGGCGCCTGAATTGCGACCACTCGGTTCCTGAATTGGCTGCTCGCGGTTTCCCGATTTCCGCAAACGGTTTGCGAATCGGGTATCTCTGGCGGTTTCCGAATCCCGGTGTCCAAATTGCTTCTGAATTTCCTGTCTTGCATAGCTCCCCAACGCTGCATTAGGAGAAAACACTGCCAGTTTGCACTTAGACAAGTTGGATGTTGGATCGAGCTGATGCGGCACTCAACACAAAAGGCCGCAGAAGAATGAGAGCGGTTAATCGCTGCCCCCATTTTTTTAAAACAGCCCCTAGTAACAAGAGCACATTCGGAAAGCATCCCAAAAAATCCCGCCATTCAGAACCCATTTTGGACGAGGGGGGGTTGTCCAGGGCTACAAATGCAAACAAAACCACAGAACCGTCAACCGTCCGTCTCCCTTCTCTCAGCTGACGACTGTCTTGTGAGCCGGGCTCTCCGGCGTTCCTCACTGTATTATTCACTTAGGCTTAGTCGGCTTAGTCTTGCCTATCTATCTTCTATCCGGGTATGATTCCCCTCTCTCTCTCTCTCTCTCTGTGTCGGGGGGCCACCCCCTTTACGTAATCGAGCGAAGCAAGTAAATTGTAAATACTATTCAGAAACGAAGTTCGCGAGCACCCGAGAAGGACAGGATCTCACGGGCGTGTAAGTGCAAAACAAACCATTTTCCGGAGGAGCTGAGAGAGGCGACGTCCTTGCGTGGCCTGGCTGCACATTTGGGACATTTTTGGACTCGTGGACAAACCGTCCGGCCTGGCCAGTTGCTGCCCAGGTTTGAAGGGCACAAGCCGCATGGACATTCGCGGTCGATCGAAAGACGAGGCGCTGAGCGCAGCGGTAAGCTACTGGTAGCAGTGTGAGGCCGCTGCTCGACCGTCCAGGCTCGCAAAACAGATATCAATCCCAAGCTAATTTACCAACGGCCTCCTCGCTAATGACTGGCAAGGTTGCAGAGCGGGTGCATCAGCAATCCAAGTTTATAGTGGTACATCAGGTGATCCACATTGGCGATTCCGATGAAGAGATGCAACGCAGACCGGATGCCAAATCAAAGTTGGGCCCCAAGTAGATTGCTCGGTTGCTCCGCATTGCTCGAAGTACTTCGTTGCAACGGCATAGTGAGCTTTGGCGGAATCGCTTGGATGGGTTCGCCGAGTTCGAGAGCGCGTTTGGAGCTGAGAAGGTCCTGGCCTCGTGTTTTGCGCATCTCGGCCGGGCGCGTGGCTGCAGCCGCCGGCCTCCATCGCCATGCCCGCAGCCCAAACGACACGAACTGCACATGCTGACAGCACTCTTGCACCCGGCAACGACGGCAACTTGTCTTTTCGTTCGAGGCCGACCCCGGCGAGGTCTTCATAGAACTGCTGTACCAGGCTCGCTGATCGCAGCTTCCGTCAAGAAATTCCGCTGCTGCTCTTCAGGATTTGCCTGACATGCTTCTCGCAGACGCTGCGGATGCCGGTGTTGAGGCCACTTCCAAGGCTAAGAGCAAAGCTCTGCTTCAATCAGAGCAGCTATCTTCCGTCCCCGCAGTTCCAGTATTGCAGACATGATCACTTCCCCTGCTTGCCAAGATCGTCTCGCCACAAGCAGAGCGCGCACGTCTCCTCGCGAAGAGTGGCGAGGCTGTCGGACTGATATCGGGGTGGAATTTGGCCCAATGCCCGCAGCTGGAGGCAGAAGCCCTCGAGGCAGTGTTGCGCGAGGCTTTCCAGGCGCCCAAGGTCGAGGCGGCACAGGCCCAAGCCTCGGCAGCCTCGGCATCAATATGCCTGGGCCGAAGTTCAACTGTCCAGCTGCAAACTGCACCGAGCGAAGGAAGACACGCACAAAGTAACACAAAACACACGAAAGAGCTCCCCAGCTTTTGCATCGCAAGATGAGGCCGCCCGCGAGGCCATCGCGAAAGCTGTGGAGGCCAACTGCTGGCAAACCGATGCTTGGTTGGGAGGCAGTGAGATTTTTGTGCATGCCAGCCCTGCCGTCCTTTACGCGCGTAGTGAGCGATGCTGCACACATCGGGGCATCATCATCTCCAAGCCTCGGCCAATACGGGCAAGGCTTGATGCTGATGCGATTTTATAGGATTGTGTACCTGTACACGTCTATATGTTTGTGAGGCGCGAGACTCGCAAAAGAACCAGCTTACAGCTTCCCACCTGGACAATCAATATGACACAGTGCTGTTAGGGAAGCAGATGAGAGTAGATCGCCTTCAAAGGCTGACTATGCCTTTTTAGTCTTGGGTTCCCGGTGCTTGCAACGCAGGCCGCGGAGCACAAACAAAGTCTGACTGCGGAAGAGGCTCAGCCCACAATGCATGGACAGTCATGCTTCGGACAGGACTCAGCCGTTCACGGCTATTTAGTGGCTCAAGTCATGAGTCGCATTTCTGTTTGATTCTCACTAGACTGCATTTGTCGCAGCTGCTGGCGGCTTTTGTGCTCAGGCTCGCGACCTTCGCCAAACATTGGAGCCACATGGCAACAGCAGCCACCGTTATCCAAGTGTTGCAGAGCTTGTCCAACATGCTCCGGGAAGGTTTAGGACCCGCAACACCAAGGTTCGCCTGTAGCAGTTCCAGTGAGCCATTGAAGATTTCGCTGAGTCGAATCGATGCACCAGTCCAGAGAAAACGCATGACACGCAGCCTCACGTCTAGAGTCTAGAGTCTAGAACAGAAAGATCAAGCGACCATCGAGGTTAGAAGTCAACTTGGATTTTGGGACACGGCACGAGGACACCGCCATCGAGGCAGTGGGATCCATGAGATTTGCCGGCACGGAGATCCTGCAGCACCTCCGCCGTCACAACAAAACTTCGCAAAGCCACATTCGTCGTGACACCTAGCATCGGAGAAGGTAACACGTGAATGGCTTGATTGGCGCGCATCCATCTGCACCAGGCATACCAAGAGCGGCTGGGCAGCCAGGCACATGTCTCGCAAGAGAAGGGTCAGGCGATTCGGGGTTTTTTCGAGGCGCATGCAACTGAACTTGTTCCCGTGTGTGCAGTACAGGCTGATAAGCAGTCACGTGCGATTTGCATGGAGCCATGCCAGGTGTATGGGCAGCAGCATCGCAACCCGCCGGATAGATCTCCTCACCGACTGCAAACACTTTCACAATAGATCTTGCGAAGATGTGAGGCAGCTTGCTGTTGACACCGTCTGAGCCCAGGAGTTTGTTTGCCTTTGCCGGCCGACGGTGCCACACACGCGCTTTGTCAAGCACCTTGGCTTGGTTCTACCGTCGAGTTCTCAGCACCGCAGAACTCTCCTGTTGGCAGCAACTTTTTGTAAGTCTGGCGACGCGGCAGTTGTCATCAAGGCCATTCGACGCCTGTTATACACGCGTGGCAGGCATTTCCTGCCCCACACGAAGGCGCCCGTCCACGTACAGACATCAAGACCACTGCTGGCGGTTGCCTGGCGGGATTTGGTAGAAAGCTGTCGAAGACTGACCGCAACCTCGCGCTTCATCACGTCTGCATGTTTCCCTGAGAGCAAGCTGCCGCTGAGACTGCAAGGACAGGAGAGCAAGGCACCGTCACAGGTACGTGAAGGTGGGAAAGCATGAGCAGAATCTGGCAGCTTGCAGAGAAGCGGTAAAGTAAATCGAAGCTGCAGCGGCCGACCATGGCTACTAAGTACGGCTTCTACTGCAGCATGTGCAACGCCACACCTTATGTCGAGGCTGCATGAAGGCAGGTATAAGCATGCCGAAAAAACCCTCAACGACCCTCTCAGAGGATCGCATAGAGTGACACATGTGATACACATGCAGTAGTACCGATGGCACCCCTGAAACAAACATACGATCACAGACGCTTGCTGAGTATGTCTCCTTTGAAGGCTGTGATTGCTTCGGTGTGCTATGTGGGACGCGTTTTTGTGTGTTTGTGTGTAGGAGTTCCTTAAATAGCTCCTGCAGTGACAGTGGCGGTGCAGTGTCAACCTGCTTCTTGCAGTCCCAGTGCACCGGCCGTTCTTCCTCCTCACCGGCTTCGTGGACGGCCTTGCTCCACATCTGCACATTGGCTTCAGCTCGGCTCAGCTCTGTCATGTATGGCGAGTTCTGCGAGGGCCCTCCACAGCTCTCCAGCCTGCAAGGGTCAAACACGAAGACTAGTGAGTAGTGGCTGATTTCGGCAGCTGTGCACCAAGTGCTGCCTTTCGGTTCGGTACGATGCATTGGTACCCAGAATGTTTATCCGATTTTTGGTGCTGCAGATCACGCAGCGGCGAGATTTATGGCTGGGTTCTGGAACATGGCAGACACTCTCTTGAAGGAGTCAATCAATTAGTAGTGCCTTGGCAACCGGCCCGACGGTCCTGGAGTGCTGTAGTTGAAGCTAATTACACAGCTACCGTATCCTCATGTACTACGAGGTTGATGTGCGACGGCGGAGCCCCGCACCGACGAATCTCGCAACTGGAGGAGGCAGCCCGGTGTGTTGCCACTTCGTTCAGTGAATCTGATTGCTCAAGAGGGTCGGCGACAGCAAGCGCATGCAAGTAGCATGCTGCTTACAGGTTCAGGTTCTTGACTGGCATTGCAGGCATGAGGTCGCAGGCTTGCACGTCATCTTTCTTGACGAGAGGACCTCGCATGACCACTCCAGCGTCTACGGCCGATTCTCCGAACAAGGTGCTGTGCAAAGAATGGTCGCGAGCAAGCAAGCAGGTTTGGCCTTCCAGCCCTCAGCCGTGAATGGTGGATCAGCCCCCTCGACCTGCCCCGGACGTCCTTGAACGGTGCAGGAGACCTTGGTGGTGGAAGTGAAACATCGCATGGGTCGGATCAAGGACCCACCATGCCTTGAGTTTTGTATTTCTTGCTCTAGGTTCGGTCGTGTGATGCTCTGCACAGTGACAAGCTGCTCAGATGCAGACTGGCCTGGTGACTGTGGCCGGTTGGTTGCACATGGTGGATAAGTTCAGGACCCTCCGGAAATCTACGATGTTGTGCAGCTGTGTGCGCTTTCCTGGCAATCATATGGCTCGCTTAAAGTATAGGCAGGTATATGGCTACTTTATATAATCCTCGCCCCCGCAACCAAAACCTGGCAGTCCTAAATAGTATGTCGCCCGTGACCCCCTTGACCCCTTGACCTTGGTTGCTTGCTTGGCTAAACTGGAAGGGTTTTTGGGTGGTCTGGAGGGTTTGGGTCTGCGCTGCTCCGCGGATGCCCGGGTTGAGGGTGGGGGCTGTAGAGGGAGATTAGCACTTTAGAGGATGCAGGGGTTTGGCTGGGGGATACTCTCTCTTTAGAAGACTGTGCAGCTGGTGCGTAGTAGTACAGTAGCAGTACAGTAGCGCAGTAGCAAGCGAAATAATTGTACAGTGGTAAAGGACAGGAAGAAGAATTGCAGGTACCTGGAGCTGTTAAGGGGTGGCTTAGGGACTTGGTAGTTATCTTGCGGTGATCAAGGTATGGTTTCGAGGATTTTGGCAAAGCCTGGAAAGCAAACCCCGATCGCTCCAAGAGAATGACCAAGACCAAGAACCCTCCATTTCGAAGATTTTTCCCCAGTAGTACAGTAGTGGTAGCAGCAGCAGCAGCAGTAGCAGTAGTAGTAGTAGCAGCAGCAGTGGTGGGTGCAGTGGGCGCCCCCCCCCACCGCATACCAAACACCGCTGACCCGCACTGTTGCTGCTTGGGGGCGGGTGGGGGGTGGGGGTGGGGTTGATGACGTACGTTTTAAGAGCACGTCCAATACCAACGATGATGATGATGATGGGTTTAGGCGCCAGAGGCGGGGGGGCGTGGCCAGTAGGCGCCGTAGTAGTACTACGAGTACGGTACAACGTTTTAGGGGTAACTAGAGCTGTTTAGCGGGGTTTGGGGATCCCCCCCAAGAAGAAGGTATTTGCTGTACAGGGTTTAAGGTTGGGGATTACGGTTTAGGGTTCCTTTGAGGGTAGCCTCAAGGGTTTTGGGGTTGGGCTTTCAGGTTCCTCATCCTGAATCAAACTAAGATACACTGACCATTGGCAGAAAGAGCCCCAAGCAAACCCAAAAAATCCGCCAGGCCAAACCAAAACTCATTACAGTCGCCGCCCGAAAGTCCAACGAGAATTGAATAAGGCCCGCAAAACAGTACCACATTACAGCTTCGCAAGGTGACTGTACCTTTTGCAAGCACCTTATGGGCCGGCCCTACCTCCCCACATCCTCAAGTCAAAAACATTCCCTGTACGCAGACGAGCCCTGAAGGTACGTACTGCCGCGCCTTGGGCTGTGTTCGAGGAGACTTGGTACAGTGTTTGCGGTCCAAGGCTGGTGGCCAAAGCACCTGTGCTGGAAAGCTTGACTTGTAGAAAGGGCGACAGAGACAAAGACAGAGAGCGAGAGAGAGGCAGGGAGAGAGCGAGGGAGAGTCATTTGGATCCGGCATACCGGCTGTTGGATTTTTAGGGTTCACGGCCCTTTTTGCCAAATGCAAGCAGGTTAGTTTGGCGGACCATTGGTTAGGTAATTTTTTGCGGGATCTGGCTATGGCTATGTGGGTTAGGGGCTCACAGCCCTTGTTCCCACTTAGGACTTGGTCAGGAGCTCGCAGGCAGGCTGTGTCAGGTTGGGTCAGGTTAGTTTGAGCATCGATTGGATAAGCCTTATGTTGGGGTTAGAAGTTCACGGCCCTTCTTTCCACGACCTGACAATCTTCACGTCGATTTGGGGTAAGTTATCGAGTGCATGCTCGCCATGCACGGCCAGAATATCGACTGTGCCTAGGAGTGCCGGGGCAACAGCTTGCCCCGTAGGTTGCCTGCATGTCACTTCGTAGCTGCCCTTGTAGTCTGTGCAGCATGCCTGACCGTTGTGTACACCATGCCACACGGCAACAGCACCACGTCGTTGTGTGGGGAACGAGCACAGCCCGCCACACTTGTGCCTGCAGAGAACCAGTGGTGGTGCTATGCATTGCTTCGGTTAGTTTCTCAGCCGTTGGCTTTGTTGGTGCATTGCAGTCGTTATTGCATGCCTTTCTGAGTAGGTTTGGCAACTTAGGTTAGTTGTCATTTGTCTTGGGGGAGGGGAAAATCCTTCGAAGTGCGCTGAAAGCGAAGTCAGTAACTGCT